GGGGGGGGGGGGGGGGGGGGGGGGGGGGGGGGGGGGGGGGGGGGGGCGGGGGCGGGAGCGGGAGCGGGAGCGGGTGGTGTTGTTGGTTTTGTTGTTGCTTGTTGGGGCCGTTGTGCTGTGGTGCAGTTGCCGTGTACTTTCGTCGTCGTCGTTGTAGGTCGTGTCGTTATCGTTGTCGTTGTGGTTGTCTTTATGCCGTATTGTCGTTGCTGCTTGCTGCTTGCTGCTGCTGCTGCTGCTGCTGCTTGCTGCTGCTGCTGCTGCTGCTGCTACTGCAGTGTGCTTCTTCGCCGTCTTCACGCTACAAAACCGCTCTGGTCTCTACCGCAGGGTCGTCTGTATCAAACAAATGAACCGCTCTACTGCTCCGCGGCCACGATCTGATTCCCAAAGGCTTTATTCAGTTGCCGCCCCGCCTACCCAGGAGCCACAACCACGACCTATTCGGAGTCCTATACAGTCCAACTACGCACAACCGAATTAAGCTTTGGTCTTTCCGTGCAGCACATGTGGTGCGATAGTTTCAAGAGTGCACTTGGTCGATCCCGTTGTTCGAATAGCACCGGGGGGAGTAGGAAGGCGCTGTTCAAGGAATTCATATCTTTCGCATTACCGTTTAGTCGGAGAGATGGCACCCCCGTGCTAGTGTTTTTTATTGCGTGTTTCTCCGCAACTATGAGGATGATAACACCTACCGATACCTCTCAGGAAAGATCTCGACGAGATGTTTCCAAAACTACTCTTTTCGGCAGTGGTACCCCCCTGATTGTGGAGAAATACGCTATTAAAAAACGCTGACACGGGGGTGCCATCTCTCCGACTATTACGGTACACAGGGTACGCACGGATGCATCGGTGTCCATTGAGAACGACGGAGCGACATCTGTGCTTCGGACGCGGGCAGGTCGTCCGGATGCCTCGCAGTCCGTCGCACTCTGCACGGACGACGAGTCTCACACAATCGATACATACACACATCCTTGCAAAGGCGGCCGCCTTGGGTAACACAAACAACACACACACCACTCCATGCAAACAATCTCCTCCCCACACCCATGACCCCCCCCCATACCCCAACATACCCCCATACCCCAANATACCCCCATACCCCCATACCCCAACACACCGCGCCGCGCCACGCCGCGCCACGCCACACATACCTCAACACGCGGGACCTCAGGGAAGCAGGGCTGCTGGTGGCCGTGCCCGCGTCCGCCGTCGCCGTCGGGGTCCCCGGCCCCCGCCTCGTCGGGGTAGCCACGCCGCCACTCCCGACCACCCCGCCCCCGGCACCGCCGCTACCCCCATCAGCAGCGGCGGAAGAGGCCGCCAAGGCGGCGGCGGCGGCGGCGGCGGAGGGAGCGGAGGAGCCGTACACGGACTGGTCCGCCGCGCTCGCGGCGGCATTTGATCTCGGGGACGAGGCGAAGGAGCGCCCCTTGCCGTTGGTGAGCAGCGGGCTACCCGCCGCGGAGGTGGGCCTCGTGGTGCGGAGCCACTCCGACACGTAGGTGAAGGTCTGGTTGAAGTGCACCCGAGCGAGGTGTTCCTGTTCGGGAGCGGGAGCAGGGGGGGAGGAGTACTTGTTGTTGATGCTGGTTTTCGAATGAGCTTCCTTGAAATGTTTCGTCGGGGAGGGAGGAGGGGGGTTCCCCGCTGCGAGAGCAGTAAAGCGTCGAAAGCGCTGGACGTGTGTGTGTGGGAGGTACAGTTTGATACGGGAGACAAGCTCGAAACGCAACACAAGCAACAGTGATTATACTGTCCAGCAAGCAGCAGCGGGAAAAAACTAGAGTTATACCGAATCATCCACATAATCCTTGTCTGAAAAAATGACAGTCCCCCGACAACACAGGAGCGCCGCCACACATACAGGGGGTCCTGCCGCCCTACGATTTCGCGGTGCCCCTCCTACCTTCTCGTGCTCGACCAACCCCAAGTCCCTCCACAGCCTCAAGGCCTCGTCTTCGTGCACGGCAAGGTCTAGGAAAGCGCCCCCCTGAGTGACAACAACGGTAACGATGTGTAACCACGACCCCCCCCCCCCCCCCCCCCCCCCCCNCCCCCCCCCCCCGCCGTGGGGAAAGCAAGGCGGCGAAGTGACAGGTGACGAACGAAGCGGAACATCGCCACCCACGTCCAGGTTGTGACGTGCGAGAGGGGGGGGGGGGAAAACGGAGGCGAGGAGTGAGAGTGGAAGAGTGGCAAGGGGAGCTATGATAGGAAGAGGGATGGGACCAGCGTTGAGATCGAAACGCTTCGTTTCGTCGATGGAGGCGTTCACTACTAAGGCTTAGGTTAAGGTTATATATAGCTCGAGGCAATGACGGGGTAGATTCCTGCTCTTCTTTCTCGAAGTCATGAAAGTTTGTTCGATTCATTGAAGCGGCACCAGTAACCACAGCAACAGCAACCCTCGGAACTGCAGTACGATACGAACATCACTGCCACCTCCTTCCAAAAACGATTAGCACAACAACAGCAGCAGCAACAGCAGCCAACAAAGCAAACGACGACAGAGACAGTGATTGGCGTCATCGCTGGCCGTTGTCCCTCGCGTTCTGCTCATCGCACCTGAAACAGGACCCAAAACTTGCTCCGATAGACCAGAGGAGTCGAAGCCCGAACCCACAGCTCAAACACCTGCGTGCCCAGAAGGGAGACAAACACAACGAAAACGCGAGAGTTGGCCTGCGAAGGTTGCAAGCAGTGAATGCTCCTCTTTGACGCGGGCGCATGCACACGCCGCATTATGGAGGAGGAACAACAAGCTCGACAACAACGCATGAGCCAAGAGCGAACAGCAGCAGCAAACAGCAGCAGCAACAACAACCGCAGCAACAAACAGCAGCAGCAGCAGCAGTAGCAACAACAAGATGAACAAACCTGCACATGAAACCACTCGCCTGTGCGCGGAGTTCGTCGACGCGAGCCTTCCTCTGCTTGGCGGCGACGCGGCGCTCTATCCACCCGCGAACCGCCGCCTGCGCAAGTATGACCAACTCCCGCACTACCATGAAGGCCACGCGGCAGATACGCCCGCGAGTTACTGCCTGCAGCGGCAACAACGACGGCAACAACGACGGCAACAACACGTCAGGTCAAGGCATGAAGATCACGCAGCAACTGCGGCCGCTATTACCAAACGCGACATCTTTTTCAAACACGAGGCAGCAGCAGTAACAAGATATCGAGCGCTGAATTGTCCAGAAAAGAAACACGCCCCCCGCGACGCAAAAGACGAAAACAAAAAAAAAGACTGTTTTAGTGCAACAAAGGAAAAACAAAATATATGTTGCGCGCCAGATAAACACCACTCGCAAGTATACAAGTTCCGTTGACCAAGCCTAAAAATAACAGAACCATCTACCATTGTAGTACAGCAGTGGGCCTGGTTAAGCGACGACCCCTCGTGTCAGGTGGGAATGTGATCGCTATTCAGGGCAGGCCACTTCTTGCAGTGGGGGTGAAGTCGTGCCACGCGATTGTTGTGGTCGCTCCACGTACAAGGCGTGTCGCTGAACAGGGGGTCTGCCGGTGAACCGGGGCCCCACTACTGCTGTAATAAGACACACTGGGCTGCGGTGAAAAGGCTAACCCCCACCTCTTCCTTCGACCGAAAATGACGTATTTTCGTTTACAAACGCACCTGCACCAGCTGCGCGGCGGCCTTCATCTTCCTGAAACGCCGGCGCAGCAGCAGCATGCGCTGCCAGGCCTGCAGCTTGCACACGCTGTTCAGCCGGGCGGCGGCGGTGCCCCTCGCCAAGTGTCCGCGGTACACTCGCTGGATGTCCTTGACCAGCATCACCACCGTGTAGAGCATCAGCCGGTCCTACGCGCGGAGGCGGTGGGCGCGAGCGCAGAACGCAGATATAAAATGTACCAAAGAGAGGAAGAATCGAGTGAGGTGCGTAGAAATACCACAAACAAAAGCAAGCATCGATTGCATAAGAGATATCACGAACAATGGAAGGGCCGAATATAGACCATAAAGACAACACAAAAGGATAGGCAGGCTCGTTCTATGCTATCCTCGTGTGTCTGTGGTGGTATATTTTATGACGTAAAAGTATGCTGTTGCAGTCGACGGGACCGCCAGCCAGCCAGACTGGACAGACAACAGTCTCTTTCAACGGAAAGAGCGCGCCGCCGGGACAAATCGTACTCACGGGAAAAAGGAGTGGAAACTTGAGAAATACGCATCTTCCAATAACAACGCGAAAGGGTATGTTTCCGTGGGTCCGTTCCTCGCGGCCGAAATAGCGAAGGGACGGAATCAAAACACGGTTCAACGAAAACAATACGCCAGCAGCAGCAGTAGCAGCAGCATGCAGGCACAGAGGAACAACCACGCACCCATCCGCCCACCACCCAGGACCAATAAACCACAGCGCACGCCAAACCAAGTCTCTGTTCTCTCTCACCCCGGATGTCGCCTGTCCATTTCGCCAAGCCCTGGAGATCACCGCCGCGGCCTCCTTCTTGTTCTTGAAGGACGTCTTCCCCTGGTGCATGCGGTACAACGCCTGCCAACCAGGTAAAAACAAAAAACAAAAAACATGGCCCCCAACCGGTACAGACCAGGGGTATAGATAAGGGGTACTCAGGGGAGGGGAGGGGGGGGTTCCTCTCATGAAAGTGCATGCCGAGGTCATGACTATTGACCTCGCATCCCTGCAATCCCTGCAATGCCGGGAGGGAGCGATACGCTTGCCGGGTTTTCGCCAGCCCAGGCTACGTTCCACAAGGACAAACCAGAAGCTGGTCATCATCCTTGCGGTACTGTATACAATTGTATCCATTCATGTGACTTGTCGCCGTTGCTGGGTCTCACAGGCGGCAAAGGGCTAGGGGGGGCCTACAGTCAATAAATCAATGGGTAGGTGGATACCACAAACTCAGGCGGTGGGAGATATCNAGCGCCAGAGAGCGCCAGAGCCGGCAGGGGGCCGAAGGGGGCGCCGCAAAAAAACACACTCCCCAACGTCCTCCCCCCGGTGTTTGCTATCGGGGTTGAGTTTTCGTCGCTTGGCAACGATATTGTAAAACAAGCCATTTCACTTCGTGAACTCGGCAACCAGGCCACCGCTTTTTTTTTTGCCTCTGTTTTTTTTTGGGCGGTAACCATGAATGGTGGTCGAGTAGATTTTATTGTGCGGGGTGGAGAACCCCCACTACGCGGAAGGGGGGTAATCGCACCACGTTGTGTTAAATAGGTCAAGCACCCTCGAGGCAGTTACAAAGTGCTTACAACTGTCTCTGGAAGTGAAAGCACCAGAAAGTTAATTAAGTCATAAGCAGCTGTCATCCGTATGCAAGGAAATAAGCACAAGATGCCGAACGCCCTTAGCAGGATGCAGCGCACCCTTCATGCGACTCGCCGAATATCTCACGGCGCTTCNTGAGAGCCTGGTCCGGTGAGAACCCGGCGTGCTCCGTCCCGGCTTTGTAGGGATGCGAGGTCAATGGTCTAACGCTTACGGCATGGACGACTATGAGTA